CTGTGCAAGACCACCAGGCCTTGTGAGAGAGGCCTCTGTCTTTGACCATCAGGGCTCTCCCCAGGTGCTGGCCAAAGACTAAGAAATGTCACTTTTTGAAGTGATTTCCTTATGGATGGCTTTTCTTCCTCTTCCAGACAAAAGCAGGCACTCATTACTTTATTGTATAGACCACTGCTGTATGGGTTTTAATAAAATCTTAATATTTATTTTTCTAGATTTTCCAATATATATTTATAAATGTCTAATAGTAGTTTTTCATGCAGGCATCCAAGATACATTTTACAATTGACATAAAGACAGCATCTGTATTTCTGCAACCACATCTTTCAAGTATCAGTAGAATTGTCCTATATATAGGCTGTGTGTACATTACAAGTTTAAGCCCACATAATACAGTTAAATTCATGGTCAGGAGACAACAGTGTATCATATTGCCTGGTAGGAAGTGAAGCCCCAGGTAGGGTAATACTAACATATAATCTTAGTTTTCTGTTCATGGGTGCTTTTATGCAACTGGTGGGGAGTATTTTCAGTGGTCAAAACCCAAGCATGCATTCATAGACCATAAAGTAAGTTCCATGTCACATTAACTCAGTCTTCACTTGTATATGCTTTGTTGTGCAGTGTTTTACTTGACCACAGCAGTATTTTTTCACAGACTCCCAGCCCTGCTTTCTTACTTTGATCTCTACTGTTTGTATGCTACTATCACTAAAAGCAGTAGTCTGGGACATGTCCCTAGAAAACCACTGTCAAAAGAAAGTATTCAGTCACCTACGCTGCTCCAGGCAGTAAAATCTGTTATAACACTACTCCTTTACAAGACAGATTTCTGCTTTTTTTTCCCCTTGACTTTTGGGAAATACTATGCAGAACAGAGGAAGTGTTCTATGCATCCTCCACTTGATCAGAGAAGCACAGGGATAACACGGTATGCAAATCTGCTCAGAGTGTCCAAGCAGCTGTGCTTCCTTGTATGCACACAAAGAAATCTTCCATGTGTCATACTTCTTCCACTTTCCCAGCTACTCACACCGTCCCTTCAGCTATGAATTTCACTTCTAATGCAACTACAGGGAAGAGTAAACAAAATTCACCCCTCTGCTGCAGGCAATAATGTGCCTCCTGCAGCTTTCCTGGCCTGACTAACCAGCTGAACCTGCTGTTGTCCTTTCCTCACCATAGGCTGACAAGAAGAAACATGAAGAATCCTTTTTTCACTTCTGAGAAGACAAAGCTCAGAATGGGAAGGTGAGTATAAAAGGGAGGAATCATGAAAAAATATATTCAAAACCAAAAGGCCTAAACTGAGGTCAGGTGGAGAAGAACATTTGAGGGAAAGGGAAATAAAAATAGCAAGCAAGCAAACAAACAAACAAAAGAGACAGAAAGGGAAAATGTTAAAGAATCACAGTTGGTATGATGAAAATAGAAGAGAGATAGGCAAAATAGTGTTGTAGAGGAAGTGGAGGAGAGACTAATATGGGAAAGATTAGAAGAAGCAGTCTAGAAGGAAGAGAGATACAAAAAGACACTAAGGATCACGAAAAAAAGAAGCTACAATGTCATTTTACAAGCAAAGCTATTTCACCAGTCCTTTGGTATTCATCGTGTAATGATCATCAGGCTATTCAAAGTTCTGAAGCATTTCCAGTGAGCAGCCAGTTCCTTGAACCCAGCTGCTGTTAGAAGCCAATATTCTAACGTGGATAAACTGATGGTTTAGTAGAAGACCCCAGTGGATGCACAGTCTAACACCAGCAAACAGCAACTGTAAAAGGAATAGCTAGTTTTTATTCAGATCAACCTTCAGCCTTCTGATTGAGAGGATACCAAAAACCTGTTTTGTAAGATTTACATTTTCTGTTCCTCAATCCTGATATCTCTGGTGCAGGGAAGGAAAAAACAAACAGGTTTTACAATTGCTATTTGAAATATTAGGCATTTTATTTAAATGCAACCAACCAGATAAGCTAGTTAAAATGGCATAATAATCCTTTCCTGGTCTCCCGCTGTAGGCAACTGAACATAAAATATAATATTCTAATCTCCATTACCATACCACGATGCCAACAGTCCTTGTTTAATAGAGGGGTTTTGCTGACATTCAACTGGTAAAGGGGAGTCAGTTAAGAAGCAGAATCACATGCAGAAGACCAAGTGACACCAAAAATTATCTCACAGTATGAAGATTACCTACCCTGCACTAGGCAGGTGGTGATTATACTTTGTTCTATAACCTTGGACATGGTTGATTATTCTGCACCACAGAGAGACAGAACACTAATAACAGGACAGCAAATGATTGAATTTTTCCAAGCTGTTCCACACAGATATAAACCAGCTTGAACAAAATGAATAACAATGAAATTAAGGCAAATTATTAGTTTGGGCAAGATCTACTGCTATATGTTTGGTGCATTGTAATATAATTTGTACAGATCAAACTACTAATCAAGAAAACTGTCAGTCAGATTTTGCCCCTGTATCTGTTAGTGATTCTTCCGTGAACAGATCATGACTTTTATAGACTTCTTTGATATTGATGTTGGTTCTAACTGCTCAAAATCAGCATGTGAGAAAAAAATTAACCTGCTTCTTTAGTACTGTTGATACCAAAGTTTAAGTACCCTGAAGTACGTGTATACAATACAATACTAACAATAGTACAGTGCTCACTTAGTTGTCTCATATGATAACTCTATCCCAGCCAAAAGTAGCACATCTATGTTCCCTTATTTTTGCAAAATGAGGAGGAGGAATGAAGAAAGTAATGGGAATAATGAATTTCTATGGCATGTAGGACAAAGGGTAGGAGGCAGGCCTAAAAAATGGTAGAAAATGCCTAAAATTTCTACCCCATTTATGCAAGGAAAAACAATTTCTCTAATGTTATGAGAAGCCTGCAATCAGAAGAGGCAAGCATTCCACTGCTTGCCATATAATGGCAGACTGTACCTAGTCATCAATTAACACAACTCTTCTGCAAGTTGGGAAAGTACTATAGTCATTGTCTGACAGATAGGGAATGAAGACACAAAGACTGCATCTGAGCCTGAGGAACTAGGCTGCTGCATGTGTATTAGACCACAGCCATAACTTTATGTGAGCATGTGACAGTTCATTTCCATCCTACCTTTTTTTTTTTTGCAAGAAGGAGAGAAACTTTGGCACCTATGTGGGGAGAGATCTTCAGAGCATGCCAGCCAAATCCCCAGGCTGAATGGACCATAGCTGTGCACACAGATAGATATTAGTCTAGATACAGTTAGAAAGGTTTACTAGAACCCTATATGGTTAAAGTATGTGTACCTGTAATAAGGTTGTCTTGTATTCATTTTAAACTTCTCAGATAATGAGAATGTTGCTTGTTTATCTATCTCACCTCTTGCCAGAGAACCTGTGCTGCACTGTGCCACCCTCTATCCACCCCCCCCCCCAAAAAAAATCTAATTTTTGAGTAGGTCTTCCCCTAGTTTATATTCTGATGTTATTACTGCTGCTGGAAAGTAAATACTAATTAGAACAATTGTAATGAAGTTCCTATCTCATCACAATTTAAATTAACAAATTTAAACCAAAATCTCTAAACACAATTTTTCTCCAAGGACCCTATTTTTTTTTTTTTTTTTGCATCATTTTGCCAAACATCTATTCTCTTCACCTGCTGCCCTTCACATTGCATGCACCATCTTTCTGAGACATGGAAGTAAACACACTCCAAGCTAGCTGAGGAAGTCTGGATTGAAGCCACTAAACTAGAGCATAACAAAGGAGTTAGTACATGCAGTAAACTATCGTAAAATCAGGAGTAACTGATGATTGATAATGGATCAGTTACCAGATATTTTGACCACTACTTTTTTTCCCATGGGAAGCATCCCTCCATTGCTAATCACATCTTCACTTAGGTTCCTAGCTTGTGTGCTAGGAGCTGTTGAGACAGTCACATAGCCCTCCCCTTTTGGAGCAGCCCTCATTGCTCTCTGGCATGAAATAGCTCTGTGAAGGAATGTACATGCCAAGTAAACATTACAGGATGAAGACAGTACCACTTAGCTGCACAATTTCACCCTCTTATTGCAAGGCCAGATGACTGGTGTTGGGTGTTTCATTTGGAGAGCATGTTAGTTTTCCAGCACCTACGACCTGTGCACATGGTACTACATGGTCCAAGGGAAGCTTGTTTTATGTCGGGTTCTAACAATGTGTCTGTTCATTGTCTAACGTGTTTTTTTAACAGTGATGAAATCAGACTCGATTAATTTGGGAACAGAAAGGAACTAAATTTAGTTGTGTTCATGGGAATCCTGCAGATGAGGAGGTGGTTTCTTCCTCGGTTACCTGAGCCTTTTCGGTGTGCCAGCCTACACAACGTCACTGCTGCTGCCCCTGCCCTCAGCCTGTTTGGGTAGGGCGAGCTCAGCACCGCCCTTCCCCGCTGTGCAGTTCCCAGTCTTATTGCAAGGGTGTGCAAGTGCCGGGAGGTGCCCACAGGGCCCCATGCTGGCTCCCTGGGGCGGGGAAGCCAGCAAGCCTGGTCATGGGGAGGCGACTGCGGGTGCGAGCGTGGGTTACTGGAGTGTGCTTATCAGCAGACATCATGAGAAAGTCCTTTGTCCCACGAACCTCTTTGCCATAATGTGCGTTGCCAAACAGGAGACAAGCCGAGTGTTTTCAAGTAAGGGGCGCTCCCGAGGCTTTACCGAGAGAAAACTTGGCATCCACTACCAGTAACAGGGGGCAGAGGATGCCACCGGTAGGGAGCTGGAACTTCACCGGTGTGAGCCCCCTTTTGAGGCTCAGCTCCCGCTACAGCCGGCTCCCCGCTGCCCAGGGAGAACAAGATAGCCTACCCCGGACGCGGGCGCCCAAAACCCTCCATCCCGCCCTCCCCTTCCCACCTCCAGTATCCCGCAGCAACGGCGAAGACCGGACCCTCCCTCTGCCCCTCCCCGCTGCCCTACCCCGGGCTTTTATAAGGCCGCGGAGTTTCCGCGTCCTGTGACTGCAGTCAGGTGGTTGTGGGGGTTTTCTTCCCTCCTTCCCCTTTTCCCCTCCCTCCCTCCCTCCTGCTCCGGCTTCCGTGGGCCGTCCCAGCGGGGAGCCGGCTGGGAAAAGTTGGAGGAAAGTTGCCGGTTGGGAAAGTCGCGGCCCCGGCAGTCAGGCTTCCCCGCCGGGCCCCGAGGGAGGGCCGAGGATGGCTGGCGGGGAAGGAGCGGGCTCCGGCGTGCTCGAGAGTAGGGAGCATCTCTTCAAGGTGCTGGTGATCGGGGAGCTGGGCGTGGGTAAAACCAGCATTATCAAGCGCTACGTGCACCAGCTCTTCTCCCAGCACTACCGGGCCACTATAGGGGTGGATTTTGCGCTCAAAGTCATCAACTGGGACAGCAAGACCCTGGTGCGGCTGCAGCTCTGGGATATAGCAGGTAAGGGCCGGGGCCCGGCTTGTCCCTGCAGGTTGAGCCCCGGCGGTCAGAGGCCTGTGAAACCTGGCGACCCGGGGCTTGGCCCGTGCGGAGGAAAGGATATTTGGATTGCGAAGCCTGTAGTCTTGGTCTTCTCCTTGCCCCTGTTACCTGCAGCCCTTTTTGACTGCGTTTGAGGCATAAGGAGAGAGAGATCTCGATGTGAGAGTGAAGTTTTTGACTTTTTATACGCTGTGTGTGCTCTAGAGTCTTAAAGCAGTCCTCAAAAACCTGCTTTGCTCTACTTCTTGGCTCTGTGGCTCCTCGCTCGCTCTTCCTGCTTCTATTGCTTCTCCTCACCCGTGTGCCTGAGGGCTTATGGCCTCAGTTATGACTGGCTGCTTAAATTCATTCATGGCTATGGTTCTGTAACACTTCCAGAAAAAAATAAACGTCTTTTCCAAGTAGGTTTTGTTTAGTAAGCATGCTTTACTTTTAGGCTAAAGGTAACTCAGATAAAATTGTTTTCAGAGAACTTATGCTCAAACTTTACATGTTTGGCATCAGCTACTTACTGTAAAAGTAACTTGGGTCCTTGCAACGTGGAGTGAGGGAAGGGGACTTAGTTCTACATGGAAATCATGGGTTTGTGTATCAAAAATATACTTTGAGCACATGGAAGCAGAAAAGCCCTGCTACTTTGTCCAAACTGCCCATCATTCCTTTGCTATGTATGAGTCAAAACTGTTCTTTAACTCCTTTGTTTTAAAGATTCCAACTATATACCTGTCCTGGTTAACTTTGCTTATGCTGTGGTGTTAAATGACACAGAATGAATTCTGTTCTGCTGTGGTCTTGTAAGAAACTTGTTGCCTTAAATCCTTAATCACCTCAGGCTAATACTGCATTTCTGGTTTTGTGTGCAGCCCATGTATTAACCTGCAGCTGTCTTCATCCCTCTCCACCATGTTCTGGATATCTCCTCAGATATGAAAAAGTAGACTTTATTTCAAATGCTGGTGTTGAAATTTACATTGCTGAAAGGCACTAAGATGACAACTGGTAGTTACTGTTTCCATGAACTATAGGCTTTACAAAGTGGAAGCTCAGAAAAGAGGAAGTGTAACATGGTTGCTGTAATCCTGTGACAGATCAGTTGAACATTAGCTTCTGGCCTTTGTGCTCTAAAGGTTGTCTCAAAATACTTCAGATATGATTCTTCAAACTAAACAGCCTGCTTCTCACTGCCATATGCTGGAACATACCAAAGATCTTTCTGCTGCTGACCTGTAGGGTAAACTAAAATATTTTCTAATTGCTCTTTTGGAGAGCAAGTAAAGTGTTGGCAAGCTTTCTTTTCTTGTGTGTACCTTTTATGAATCAGTTTTAACTTCTGTAAATCAATTAACAGTATTGGTGCAAGCTGCCACAATGCTCTGGATGTATTTTAGGAGGTTGGGGGTTCCAAAGGCTGAAGAAAGGAGACTGTCAGGATCCTGGGGTTTGGGAGGCTGCCACACTTGTGTTTAACTTCTCCCCAACCCTTGGTTTCTGAGACTGGGGTAGGCTTTGCCAAAGCAATCTGTTCAAACAGGCTAGGCAGAAACTTAGCTGTAATTTGTAATAAAGTTTGGACAGACCTATTTACATTATGGGAAGTCCTATCAATATAGCCATGCATTAATTTTAAGATCTAGAAGATGGTATTTTTCACTCTCTATTATTGCCCTTAGTGTACTTTGGACACTGCAAAGTGAAGAGTGAATTAAGAGCTGCTGATAAATCCCTGGAGGCTTGTGCTAATATTGATAGATTGAAGAATCAAATTTTTTCCTGTTGCCGAAATATTTTTCGTATTTTACTATGTGGTGTAATTCTGTATGAAATTCCTGACTAGTTTTTCCCTAGTAAAAATGAAAAAGGAAAATGCAAACTCTTATTTTGAATCTGGTACTTCAGGCTATTCTATGTCCCCTCCTTGAAAGACAAGACCAAAAAGAGAAGTAATTGTAGTCCTAGTATTTGATTGGGCTGTGCTTAGCCAGTGTGACAATAACAGTTCAGACTCCTATAGAACTTTACATCTCATTTAAGTGTTAATCATTAAAATAAAGGGTACTTTACTATCCTTAAAGGTTTGCAGTTTTAAGATCATGACATTAAGTCCTTGACCTGGGTATGTGTTCTGCAGCTGTTTATGTCTATATTCATGAATATTTCTAAATACCTGAGGATGTTAACAGATCTACATGGAAATTACTAGTTACAGAACCAGGTTGAAGATGACTTTTATGTAGTCATAGCACATGTTTCCTAAAGCACTTTATTGAAGTGTGTAAAAAGTATCTGAGCATGTGATAGTCATTCCCTTTTAACACACCAGCCCAACTGTCTTCTGGCTTTCAGCAGCTCATGTAGATAATTTTGTCTGCTGATGTATGCAGACAAACAGCTTTAGATCTCTTCAGGAAATCCACATATTATGGTAAGTATTGTTACATGCGACTTCCTTACAAGCAGCATGGTTCTGGCATTCTGAATTCATTTTGGTGTGTCTTAAAAAGCTTTTGAATTAAAGTCTAACCCTTACGCATAGTAAACCAGGTTATTTTTTACAAGATAAACCTTGTACTTAGCAGTTCATAATAAAAAAACTTTTCTCAAACAGTTGGGTGCTGCAATCTAAGGTTCTGTGCCTAAATTAATGATAAGAACTGGCCATGTAGTTCGGTCATCAGCTAAAGATTATAATGTAGATACTGTGCTGACTTCTGGTGTGGTTATAGCCAAAATGATGAATGTTGTGCTGTGTATAGTAATGCAGGAGGTTCCTGGGTAACTTCCATTTCTTGCGTGGAGGTTTTTTAGTGATTAGATAATTCTATCAAATAGAGCATGACAGTGTTACACTGCCTTGCTTTTCTTTTTTTTTTTTTCCCCTCTCTAGTGGGAGATAGCCTTGTTGTAAGGTACACTATAATGCAGATTCCTGCAGCAGAATCAAAGGTGAAGGTTAGACTTGTGTATTCCAGAAATATTTGGGCATTTTAAGACAGTTTATAGCTTCTTGAATAATGGAGATGAAGAAATTTGGGAACAGGATTGATCAGTCATTGTCAAATGATCTTGGTTGCAGCATGAAGTATTCTGAAAGAAGATGAACAGATTACATGCATGTTCATACAGGAGCAAGACTTCTAAATGTTAGCGCCCTTAGTTGTTACTCTTGTTTTTTATCTTGACATGCAGAGTTACGATAAACCTCTTCCTGGATACAGTCTGAAAATGTTAGAACCAGGTTAACTGCCTTGATCAAAGGACATAAATAACTGGCAAAATAAATAGGAGATAGGAGTGAGTCATTGTGAAGAGATACAAAACAAAGGAATCTTAATGATAGGGAAGTACTTTTATTTCAGTACACTAGAGATGCCTGTTTGACAAGCAGGCTGTTTTAGTGAGTATACTGCACTGACCACAACTTAGTGTAGGAGGTGAATATAGCATATTGATGAAACCCAGTCAAAATTGGAGGAACACTTAAAGGATTTTCTGCATCATAAAGTTTTGATCTAACAAGACCATCAAATGAGTAGTCTTAGCTGCTCCTTTATGATCATATTGACTATCACTGTCATTCAGACCAGCCTGTATGAACCTGAAGTTTGCCAGAGGGCAGGGGTGGTAAAAGTCATAGATGACTACCTAAGCTTGGCTTCTCTTCAAGAATGTCACTTATGACAGCTAGTAGACAAATTTGTTTTTAAAGCTATGAGTGATTCTGCATGAACTTTGCAGAATTTCTTTGTAAAAGTGTTTATAAAAATTGAAGTAATGCTTTAGCTGGAGGAATGTGGCTATGAAATTGGCAGAAGAGGAATGGTTGTTCTTTGGTATTCTACATAAGCTTTACATGCTCTACACAAGCTTTTAGGAGCTGAATGATAAGATTTGTAGCATGCAAATTGGTTACTAAACTCTTATCTGTCTCCTTGAGCAGATCTGAACTCTAACTTGTTAAAAGTGAATGCTAGTCCCCAAGAGAATGGAGATACCAGATGAAGTATTTTGCTCAAATACTAAGTTGAGGAAGAGCTGGAATAACCCATCTTTTCTATGAAGACAAATAAGTTTTAGATATATGAGTAGATGTTAAGCTTCTAATTTCTTTGGGAAGTTAACTTGCTGTCATCTATAGGAAGCCATGAGAAAGTGAGTACAGGAAGCAATGGGTGCGGGAAAAGGAGGACATTCTAAAACTTACTTCATGGCAGAGAACAAAACCTTAAACTGAAAGGAACACTTGCAAAACAAGACAATGAAAGCAAAATGCAAGTTTACTTACATAAGCAAGAGTGCTGCACCCTATAACATTTTCTGTCCCAATGGAATATGCTCTATCTCCTGTAGAAAGCTGAAGTGCTTGGTAGCTATGCACCTTCTGTGGAACACAGCTGTGAACTGTTACATATATTGGTAGCTGAGTTTCAAAGGCATTCAGGCTGTTCCACTATGTGAGAAAGTGTACTTCTATGTGAAAAACCTTATAGTTTCAAGCAAATGAATATTACAGTTTTTCTCGGTCTGCATTTGTGCTACTGGCATTTCAGAAGACTGCCAAGTTGCTTCTATGTACCAGGTCATTAACTTGTTTCTTGTGTTATGGACTTACCTTATTCTTTTAAATGAGATCTAAAGAAAGCCTTAACCAGTGTTAATGCATCCCTGAAAATCTACATGGGGCAACCAGAAAACTTCCTTTATTTCCTATATATGCATACATGGAGCTGTGCCATAGAGGTGTGTACTTTAATTGCTTTTTAGAGGAGTCTCTCATAAGCATAGAGACCTTAGACATAGTTGTATCTAGATACTCTTGTAAAAACTTGTCCTTAACCCACAACAGATTTTGAAGCTCAATATAGGGATTAGAATGGCAATTCCTACAAAGAAACAATATAAAAATTGATTTGCTGTATGTCTAGTACAAGTGAGCATAGGGTGGAGGCAAGACAATCCAA